CCACACAGGAAGACCAGCCAGTGCCCTGATGAGGCGAAGCCACGCCCCCAACCGCCGCCCTACACCACCAATGACTTAAAAACTGCTTTAAAAACTTACATCATCATAAACTGTAATGTGTAATTGAGGACAATGTAAAGGTTTATAAGGTTTACATCTATTCATCATCTTTACCCACTTCTTCTTTATTAGGTCACAGGGGTCACTGGTGCCCATATCCAGCTATCACTGTGTGAGGTGGGGGACGCCCTGGACAGGTCTCCAGTTCATCACAGAGACACAGAGACAAATGAAGAGACAAACGAAGAGACAAATGAAGAGACAAACAAGACAAACGACCATTCTCTCTCTCACTCTCACCTAGAGTTACCAATCAGCCTAACATGCATGTTTTTGGTCTGGTAGAGGAAACCGGAGTACCTGCAGAAAACCCACACATGCACGGAGAGAACATGCAATCTTGAATGGCCCTTGGACTGGGATTTGAACTGGGGCAACCTGTTTGCTGAGAGGCAACAGCTCTACCAACTGAGCCACTGTGCTGCCCCAATGTTTACATGAACCACTGAATATTTTTGACACTGAATATGTTTTAGTAAGGTAGTAATTCACTTTGGTTTTATTCGCGTTCTGATGAGCCATTAGCTTATCAATTCTATCATAACTGCACTGAAGTCATTAAAAATTATATTTATTTCTCAAAACCGAAGTTCAGAGGATCTAAGCCATCACTTTGAAAAATTGAATAGAAGGCTAAGAGTAAAAAACACATCATAAATTAAAGACCCATTTAATTTGTGTGCAAAAAACAAATTAAAATCAAACTTTTCACAACTTAATAATAACTTAGCTCACGTACCTTCTAATGGCTTGGGCAGGAAGTGAGCAGCTGGTTTTGTTTTCTTCACTCGGTTCCCCTTCATGGCTTGGCCATCTTTATTGAGCCCTAGGAACCATGCTCTCCCTGACTCTTGTTGTCGATACAACATGGACGAGTAGATCACATAGTAGTTCTCAAACACCGACTCTTTAAACTTACATTCTGCTGTAAAGAGTTCCTGCAGAGACAAACACAGACAGAAACCAACTTGTAGTAATCTGAAGATTTTTTTATTTTTACTGCACTCAAACAAACTACTTAAAGGATTCAAACTTCTTAGAGCAGGTGTTAAGATTCATATTTTGCAGAAAATTGGTCAACTGAGGCCTTATATATGATTGATGCATATGCACAAAAATATTGCAGAAAATTTATTTTTGAACCCTTGCAAGTTGCACACATAAAATGCATGTGAATCGTCTTTGGAACATTTTAATTTTTACTGAGAAGAAACCAGTATTTGATCAGCAAATTCATTCAGAACAAGTCATGTGTGATGGCTGACAATGTGTTGACAATGACACATGGCCACAGTAGCTGTGCAAATTGGCATGAAATTGTGAAAAAATGGCAACTTTGGAGATGCCGGAGGACATCACCCATCAAAGAATTGGTGGGACGTGTGTTTTCAAGAAATAAGGATGAATGTCATTGCTTTACACATTATATGATTTAGAATACCCATGGCTATTTTTTTTGGAACTATGCAGTAAGAAGGGAAAAGATGCCTGACAATGCAGTGATGCATAGCGAATGCCAGTTCAGGTCCTTACCAGGCTAGGGTTCTTTGCAACAAGAACCTTTCAAAGGGATCTGTCTGACAGATTAGATCTTTCACAGTAATTCCTGAGCTGTGCCATGCAAGTCATATGGGACAGCTTCATCCTCATGATGCCCAAATACTACTGTATGCAAATCTACTATATACAGTATCTGGGCATTTTATATATATATATATATATATATAT